ATAAAAGAATACTGTAAATTATGAATAAAAATGTAAAAAACATGTAGAATATATAAATAATTAAAACTTATTTTCAATTCTATTTTAATTTAAAGTTATAGTATTATTTATTTATTGAAAAGTATACTAACAATCTTTATATTTTACATTTATGGAAAAATAAATATATAATAATTTACTCTTTCGGTCTCTTAATTGTAAATCAATTTAATGATTTATAAAACTTAGAAATTAGTTGGATTGTTAGATTTTTGAATGTTGATCGATTGTATATTTAAATGTTGATTTTTTACTTTATTTTTTTATGTAATCACATATTTTCAACTCTATTTATTTTTTATTAATAAAATGGTCATTTGATAAGCTCTCATCAGCAAAAAATGTTATGCAATGTATTGCAAAAGTTCAATGTAAATCAAATTTTGAACATAAAGACTTATTTTCTTCATAAATTATAGATCTTAAACTTAAATTATAAATACACGAAATCTCAATTTTTTTTCCTAAAAAAAATTTGAGGGTGATACGGATTCTAAGTTTTTAAAAACTTGATGGTACACATCTATATTTATAAGTAAACACAATTTATATAAAATGAGTGTTCTTACGTAAACTACAAACTCGTTATTTAACATTTAAAATTAGATCTCCCCTGAGTCAAAATCCTAGCTCCGTCACTGCTAATAGCTATGCCCTTTTTTAACTTAGGCACATATGGTTAACACGATATGTGTAAAATGATAAAATATATATTATTGCGAACAATAGAAATAAAAGGAAAAAAAAAAAAAGAAACTGAACTAAATCTGTAAAGTTGATCGGTCAACTATTTCTCAAGTTAACGTTTATTTCGATTGATAGATGAAATCATTAGCCCATACCATGATAACTAGTACAGACACGAGACGTTTGATGCATACAATTAATTTCCTATAGATTTATTCACCTAATATCACAACGTGGTCCTGTATCGCTGAAACGTATATTTGTCACGGAGTGCGCTAATTGTAGTACGAACTAAAACAAGAATTATAAAATGCGGAAGCAATCAACAGAAGATTAACAAACTCTTCAGGGAAGCATCCCACTTCCCCTCAGAGCTCTTTCATTGATAGATCACTCATGAACATAGTTTGGTCTTACAACGACTTGAACTCCCTTCAAATCTAGCCAACACTACTCTCGATCCTATCAACTAATTCTCCGGCCACGTCCCGTGGACTTGTAAAACTACACTTACTCCCTAAGTGTATGAACCGTAAAATAGTTTTGATGAAACATATAAAAACCTAAACAAAAGCAGTTTCAGTCCTTGAGTATGTAAGAACTCTCCGACTGAACTGGATACTACTCAAAATGAAAAGAAGGAACGAAGCTTAAATTGCTCTAGAAATTTTTCTCTCAAATCACGCCGCGCAACAGGAGCTTCTTCTAGGGTATTTATATGACCTCCTTAGAATTGGAGTCTTCAAGGCATAGGACTTCAAGCAAGATTTCCTTCCATGAGGATCCCATATCTTTGGCAAGAAAATCTTCTATTCTCTCTCTTTGATTCCCTAAGCACGCACGTCTCTCCTCTTCTTTATCTCTTCATGTCCGATCTCCTATATTATCCAAAACCATAATAAGATCTACACAATCTTGTATATGGAATATAAAATAAGATTAATTAAGGAAATAAAATATGTAAAGATCTCCCCTTTATTCTGTGGTTTCAGGTGCTTGTTCGAACTAACGAACTAATGCCAAAATAAAATATCTTTCAATCTCCCCCTTTGGCATCTAGTTCGAAAACATCAGACTTGAAAGTCTCATAAAGAAACAACAAGCACCAACTGATAAAATCAAGCAAGGGTTAGTTCAATTAATCACAAGACTGATAAAACAGTTCTCCCCCTTAGTCCCTGCAGTCAACAAAACTCAACGTAACGATTCTAAATTCGATTCAACCAAGATAAGTAGATATTAAAGTCAGCAAAACCACTACATTAACCGCATTAAAATAAATGCTTATAGTAGCAAGCAGCAGATAACAAAACACATAAAAACCTCCCTACAACCCTCAAAACACACAGAGAAATTAGAAGGTAAAAGCTGACTACTCTTCATCTCCAAGCTTCTCAGTAGCCTCATCAGACTCTTCATCATCCTTGCCATCGCTTTTACCAGTAGCATCAGCAGAAACCTTCTCCCCCTTTTTCGAACTACGGGATGCCGAAGGGCCCGTCCCCGAGTTAGTACGATTTGATCCCTTGACAGCCTGCAGCACTTGACGAAGATAGGCCTGCTGAGCAGCGACGTTCTTGGCCAAATCATCCCACTCTCCAAGTTGCTGAGCCACGAACTCACCCCAATTTTTAGGAACTAAGGAAGGAGCCAGTTCCCGTTGGACCTTGGAAATCCCTTTCTCATTCAGAGTACGAGCACTGACAGTGAGTGCTTTTCTGGGGTTCTCGAGAGAGTCTTGGAAGCGGAGATTAACAGAGAAATTATGAGCAGCCAGGAAGGACTAGATAAGACAAGGAAAAGGAAGGGTTTTGCGAGACTCAATGTTAGCAACAAAAGATTGAAGGATATTGAAGAAAAGATCCCCAAAACTGAAAACCTTCCCAATCAATAAATGACTTTGCTCTGCAACTCGGTAAGCAAAGTTTTATTAGAAGTAGGCGTCCAGTTCCCAGCACCAATTTTATGCAACAGATTAGCAACTAAGCAAAGGGAATTCACAGAGAGATTAGAACCAGGCCAAGTATCCAACTGACCAGAAGTAAGAACTGTGGTCATTTCATCCAAATCAACATCAAAGAGGGAAGAGCTATCAAGATCAGAGGGCAAACCAAGATGGGCATTAAACAAAGCAGGAGATACATCAATCACACGGTTGCGAAG